TGACAGCATTCTGGAAAAGGAAATTGAATAGGAGATCAGAAAATGGAAATATATTCCATTCTCATGGTTAAGAAGAACCACTACAGTGAAAATAGACATATTCCCAAAATTTACAACGTTAATGCAATGCCAATAAAAATATCTTTAGAATTCCTTACAGAACTAGAGAAAATATTCCTAAAATTCATTTGGAACTAGAAGAGATTTAGAAGTAGCAAAAATAATTCTAGGCAACAAAGACAAGACAGAGGATATTACAATCTTTTACTTGAAATTATACTACAAAGCTACCATGATAAAAGCAGTACTTTTTGGTACTGCAAAAAAAAAAAAAAAAAAAAAAAAAAAAAAAAAAAAAAAAAGACCCGAGAATCAGTGAAACAGATTCAAGATACTGAAACAGCTCCAAACACATTCAGTTACCTTAACTTTGAAAAAAGGGCCCAACAGGTTCACTGGAAGAAAGATAGCTTCTTTAATAAGTGGTGCTGGGAGAATTGACTTTTCACATGCTGAAGACTAACACTAGACCCATGTCTTTCACCCTACTAAACTAAAATAAGAAGATCTAAATACTAAAACAGAAATGCAAAATCTGCTGGAAAAGACAATAGGCAAAACTCTTTAAGATATAGAGGTAGACAAAGATTTCATGAACAAAATCCTGACTGCATGGGAAATACTACAAAGAATCAACAACTGTAATCTTATCTCATTAAAAAGCTCAGCAAAAGAAAGCACCAACAGAGTGGAAAGACAACCTACAAAGTAGGAAAAAATTGTTATTATTGAGATATTCTTCAGACAAAGGACTAATGTGTAGAACATATAAGGAATTAAAAAAAAAGCACTCCTCAAATTTAAAGACACAATCCAAATGGGCATCTGAGATAAGTACATACCTCTTACATGAAGAAATTAAAATGGCAAATAAATATTTGAAAAAAATGCTCAACATCTTTGATCATCCAAGAGATACAAATTAAAATAATAGTGAGATTCTTTCTCACCCCAGAAAGAATGGCTATCATCAAGAAATCAACCAATAATACATGCTGGAGTGGCTGTGGGGGAAGAGGGAACTCGTCTCCACTATTGATAGGAGTGTAGGTTTTGTGCAACCACCATGCAAATCAATAGAGACTCCTCAAAAAACTAGGATAAGCAGTCCCATTTGACTCAGATGTTGCCTTTCTGCATATCTTCCCAGAAGAATTAAAAGCATCATACCACAGTGATACATACACACCCATATCTATAGTACAGTTGTTAAATCTTGGAAACAGGCCACATGCCCATTATTTGAGAAATGGATAAAAACATGTGGGGGGTTTTTTTGTGTGTGTAAAATAGACTACTATTCAGCCATAAAACTGTATAAGCTTAAGACATTTCTATGTAAATGGGCGCACCTTGAAACCACACTCTTAAGTGAAATAAATCAGACACACATGTAAATATTGAATTATCTCCCTGGTATGAGGTCCTGAAAGAGTAAATAGGGACCAAAATGTACAGTAGATATTGTGAAATAGGAAGCAATCTTTCAAAATGAAAAAGGAATTAAGTGAAGGAGGGGGGAACAGGAAGGAAGGGAAAAATGATAAAAGAAGAATAAAATGGAAACAAAGCTTAGTAAGTAAGGAGGGAAGGAGGGATTGAAAAGTGAGAGGATTGGAAAAAAGAGGACTCAAGGTATATTATATACAGGTACAAATTCCCTATTATGATAAATATGATCATTATGTATGTCTAAATTGTAGCAATAAACTTTGAAAAGAGATATTAAATGGAAAATTCCAGAAAATTCTAGAAAATTCCAGAAATGGAAAAATCCAGAAATAATTCTTAAAATCTGAGTAGCATGATGAAATCTCCAGTACACACTTTCCCACCTGGGACACTTTTGCCCACTGTACATTATATATTACATGTAAGATATTCTGAGAGATTCAAAGGAATTTCTTTAGAGGACTATCTTTGAATAACACACTTAGACAACATAGTATATCTATGTGATTCAGAGCCTACAAAGCAGCTACTTCCTCCTGTGATGGGTGACTGTAGCCTAGGATGGGGACTTCACAACTGGCCTTTCCAGAGCACTTGGGGAAGAAGTTGTAGGCTAAATATAGGAAATAAGAGCTGCAGAGAGGAACGTTCTCTGCTGGCCACCACCCCTCCCATCTGAACTGGTAAGGAACTATGTTGGTCAGTTTCTATTACTGGACGAAATACTTAAGAAAATCGACTTATAAAGAGAAGATGTTTATCTTGCCTAATATTTTGGAGGTTTCAGACTGTGATCAGTTGGCTTTGTTGCTTTGGGTATGTAGCAGGGAAACACAGACGAGCAATATAACTCCATACATGGCCAGGAAGCAAAAGAGATGGGGGAGGAAGAAGGTACAGGATTTTCACAGTTCCCCTCTCCAAAGACACACCACCAATAGAAGAAAGGGCTTCTACTAGCCCTCACTTTGTAAAGATTCTTCCATCTCCCATTAATGCTTCTCAGGAGACCAAGCCTTGAACACATGGGCTTTTGGGGGGAATTTAATATCAAAAATTTAGCATGGATCACCCAAGTTGAGACTTGAGAACAAGAACCTGGAAAAGAAGGGGAGAAACATGTGATACAGCCATTATTGAAGGAGTCGAACAAAATGAAAATAAGAGACATAGATACATAATTTCACGAGGTAAAGAAGGAACGAGAAGAAATGATAGAAAATGATCATGATACTGGCATGGAGGGGCCACCTTTTGTGCTTGTGAGCGACTGAACTTCCCCACATACAACTGACCAAGCTGCAAGTCAGGAGAAATATGTTCTGCTAGCATTTAACCTAAATTGCTTGATCCTTACAGGGTTGACAAAATCCATTTTATCCTATACTCTAAACTGAAGCAACTTTAAGTAATGAACAGAAGTCCTGGATTAGCAAGAAAGAAAGCACAATCCCAAGTTCCTGTACACACATGCTCACTATGACAATGTGATATGTTGGGTACATGTTATAGAGCATGGCTTCTTCAGTGATACACATCAGGTATAGGAAGGACAAAAACATGTGTGTTTCAATGTCACTGAACCACGAAGTTTTAAGTCACTCAGGCTTGAGAAGCCATCTGAGATCCGACCAAGAAGGTCACATATTGTCTAGCAACCCAGGAGCGTAGCTTCAATGCCCTGCTGCCTAGGGCTGGAGTTGTCTCCCTATAGGAGAAGGGTATGTCCTGTCACATGAGGGAGCAAAAGAGTACATGGCTTTTCAAGTGGCCATAAGTGCAGGCTGACAGGGATAACTCTGTGGCTCCAACATGTTTTAGCTCAGAAACAGAGGTTTAGCTGATTGCATATCTATTCAGAATAAAGTCTGTGCTTCACAGAACCCTTTGCATTGTGACTTTTGCCCGGTGGGAAGTAAGCCAGTGTAGCATATGCAGCTCGGAGGAAGCTTCATTTTAATGGCAAGAGTCATGCTTACTGTGGTGTTCCCTCCTGGGCACAGAGTAGAATGGAAATACCGTGAGCAATGCTGGAACACCTATTTTGTTTGCAAGAAATAACAGCAACAAAAGGGAAAGATAGGTGAAGCTGGATGTTGGTAACTGTTAATTTGGATTTCCACAGTAGGTCCAGATTACTTATCCATTGTCATGAAATAAATAAGCTACAGTTTGGTAGAATTCATGCTTTTACTGTTTTCTTTTATCTGGTCTTTGCAAATATAACTATAAAACATGTATATGATCTAAAATTACTCAAAGAAATACTTTCAATTTGTAGATGAATCAAAATAAAAAGTCCATACAAAGGAAATGTAAGGAAACACAACAATAAACACTGAGGCAGTTAAATTAAGAGGTAAAGATTACAAAACTAATGCAGTAAATTTAATTAACAAATGAAAAGTTGCATGATGTGATGATAATATTTCAAAAACACTCAAAGATACTTTAGATCCTATTTATCATTAGATAAATTTTATCACTGTTTATCATATCACTGTTAGTATTGCTCTAACATGGAGTTACATCCCCAGACCAACTGGAGATGTATGTTAGCTGTATGCTAATATGTATTTAACTGTTTTAAATACATAATATGACATTATTCCATTTATTTTCTAGAAAACTCTATTTTACTATTACTGTGGCCACGTTAGAGATGAGAAAACTCAGGCATGGAGGAGATAAATTCCTGGGTCACCACTGTACTTTATTTGTCAACCAAAACCTAAGAAATAGCAGAGAAAAATGTGAAATTATACAAGATGACTGATTTCATTATTTTCCATAAAAAGGACTCACAAATGTAATGTTCCCACAATTGGCAATTAGGTCATCAATGACAATGAAGGAAAAGAATATATCTCATCTAAGTCAGTGCTGGAAAAGTTATTTAGAGGAAAAATTTTTTAAGAGAATAAAACCAAGGGAAATAAAATAGAATAAAACCAATCAAAAGAAACCAATGCAAGTGGTACAGGACTTCAAAACAGCACAAAATCAACAATGGTTACCATAATGCCTCTTGTTGTCTTCAAAAAAGCTGCAGATACCCTCAGACACAATGAAAGTCAAACAGAACAGAAGAGAACCAATGGAAAAAAAATGAGTCCAGTAAAAGACTTCAATACAAGACAATAGTAAATCCAAAATGCCTACCATAAGGTATCTTGCTGTCTTTGAAATAGCTGCTCCTGCCATCGGATATAACATAAACAAAGCAGAAGAGGAGAAAACCCAACCCAACAAAGCAATGACAATGACACAGGTCTTCGAAACAAGATAATAGGGGATTAACAATGGTTACAACCCTCAGAAGGAGGTCCCCCCTAGATGCATACTGCCATCCTCTGAATAGATGATCAGACCACTGGCCCTAGACCTGCAAGGTCAGTGAAACACCAAATACCACAAGCATCAAATTGCATTTCACCTCAACAGCTATCATCATGGACTGTGTTTCTATGGATCAGCCAGGCGCTTACCTAGGGGGTAGGGTTGGCTCTTCTTGTGTGCCAGCCCTCATCCTGGAAGGAGCTGGGTTCAGGCTGTCCACCTGCTGGCAATGGTCAGCGCGTGACTCTGGTTTGCAGGCAAGGCTAGCTTTTTGGTGAGGCCTTGTTCTCTCCCCCTAGTCTGTTAGTGTCCTAGAGGAAGAAGTAACAGCTTATATAACAAAAACATTTAAAAGTTTAAAAACTAAAAATAAGAGCAATAAAGGGTGCAAGATAGTAGAAATAAGGTAACAATAGTCTGTTGAATTACATGCAAAAGCTTCCTCTCCTGACGAAGTCTTTTGGATTGAGGCAAATATAAAACAAAAGGGAAATCAACTGATTGCAAAATAAGAACCAGAAATTATCCCAAATATTTAGTGTGTGCTAAAAGAGACATTGTTAAGTCAATTAATCCACGGTAGAATTCCCAAATGGTAGCTCATTCAATAGCTGTTCTATAAAGAAGTCTAAATGAATTATAAGTGAAAGTATTTAAAAAGCCATCTATAAATATTTTTTTACAAAAATCTTTGCATAATTTAGGACAAGGATGGTCTTTATACACACATAAGAGTAAAGGCAAAGGCATAAAGTAAGATAACATGGTATATTGAGATTATTCACAAATATGTCAAAAACACTAAGCAAATCAAGACTAAAGAAACTGAACAATGCTTGTGGCAAGAACAAAAAGGTTAAATCACATCATCCAAAGAGCTCTAAAAATCAACAAAAGATTAGCAACTATCTAAAATAAAAATAAAATACGAACATATAATTAACAAAAAAGAAGCACATGGCTAATGGCTGTATTTTAAGATATGATATTATACAAAATCTAAGAACATTTTTGATTCATAATCATTTAAATAGAAACACATTTTCCAATGTCAAGAAAAATATAAGAAAATATGTATCTAGGAAATGTATCTGTGGGCACAAACTGGTTTAAATTTTGAAAAATTTCTCGATAATAGGCAATAAATATTATGTCAGAATCTTAACTGTGTTCATCTGCTTTCACCTAGACATTTTGCACCAAATGATTTATAGTTCTTTAATTAAATGGACTAAAAATTCAGCTGTAAGTATGTTCATAGAGTATTCATTAATATGAAAAAAATTGAGCCAAAATCAAAAATTTAACAGCAATAGTAAGCACTCACTAATAGCTATGTGCCATTTGAAAAGAGTTTTAAGTAGTTAGAAAAAATGTACACTTTAATTATATACAGCAGATATTATAGGTGAAGGTATATGCATTTCTTTAGCCACTGTTCATGGTTTGATGATGCTTTGTGCTGTAGTTTGCATCCGTAGCGCCCCCAAAGGCCCGTATATTAAAGGCTTGTTCTCAGCCTGGGCTGTTACTTACCAAAACCACATGTCACTCTCACCATCTTGTTTTTGACTGAGGTTCCTCTATTCTGTTTTGCTGGATAGTATCAGGTTTGAAAGTTTAGGTATCAGCTGTGAAGATAATGAGATTCATTATAACGCCCATTCTCGATGACTTTTATCTACTTTTGAAGACCTACAATGTCTCCAATGTTTTGGTTTTGTCGGTTTTGTTCTTTACTGTTTTGTTCAATTGTGTTATAACTAATGATATAGGCAATTCTATTAGAGATAGCGGGAGGCATTATGGTAACCATTGTTGGTCACCTTGTATTATGTTTTTATATTATCTGTTATGTCCACCCTTTTGACTTGACCGATTCTGTTCTGTTATGTCTCATTTGATTTTACTCTCTTCTAAAAAAGCAATAAGAACAGTGGGAGCAATGAAACCCAAAATGTGTAACAGTCATTGTACAAAAGAGAGGAAAAGAAAGTGCTCTAAACTATATAACTGCATGTATATTTAAGTGTATAAGATAGAAAATGATATCACAGAGTTTTATTGGATCATTGAACAGAACTGTTTGCAGTGTCATTGTTGGAATGTCCACTCTACAAGCTTTAATTTTGTGACTTGAACAATTATTTCTAAGATGGCAATATGTAATCCATTAACTAATGATTTCCTACTGTTCATTTTTTTCTTCTGTAAATCTGTATAACTTGTACCCTTTCACTGTTTTTTTTTTCTTTTCTACTTAAATAAAAAATTTAAAAAAAAAAAAGAAAAACTACATGTTGGCATGGCCCACTGCTGAACCAGAAACTCAGGAGAAAGAAGTTAGCGGAAAGCATCAGTTTTATTCAATACTGACCCTTAAGAAGGTGGAGGAGATGTTCCAGTTCAAATCTCCAACTCAGAGGAGCTCAAAAGATGAAAGAGCCTTTCAGAAGGAAAAGGAAACCCCGTGCACAGGAAGGCTGTTGCTGGATAGGTTCTCTATAACCCATACGCATCTTCTTTCTTCTTCTCTAGCAGCAACATCGCAGTAGGCTTCTACCTGGGAAGGTAAACAAGGACTTCTAGAGAACGGCTATTGAAGGGCATCTCTTTAGCACAAAGGATTAGGGAAAGGACAGAAGGCAAAAAGCGGGTAAGGAAAGCAAAGGACAGTTTCAGATGAACCTTGTTAAATTAGAGATGGACCCTAGTGCAAGACCATCATCAAATTTTATCAGAAGAAAAACGGAAGGTCACAGAGTAAGGTCACAGCTAAGCATAATCTAGAGTCTGGTCTGCCACAATCCCCACCTCCTCAAACTTCAAAGTGGTTATTTTTCGTAGACGTCATGCATTCTCGTCTGCCCTCCTACAGTTCTACTAAGAAAGGGATCTACAGAATGAAAAGCTGATAGGATTTAGGGTGCAAACTCTGGCTTGTAACCGAACTGGCTATGTGGCTGCCACTGAGCCTAAAGCAGTTTGGTTTTCTTTTAAGTTGAATTTGCAAAGTCAAGTAATAAAGTATAACAGAAGCTTCCTTTGATTTAAAGCTGCCCGGGGAGCCCCTGGAGTTAGGAACAGAGATCTGAGTTGTTTACTTAAATAAATGAATGGAACTTTAACAGAACAGCTAATAAACAAATCTTACAGAGGTCATGCCAGGCTCCCTCGGGACTGAGGTGGTGGGTCTGAATTTCAGCCAAAGGGATGAAGGCATTACGTTGGCCTCACAGAGGTCTCCAGTGGTCTCGGAGGTCCCCAGGTGGCCTCAGATTTGGAATGTCTCCTAAAAGCCAGGCTAGGGGAGCTTTATTTTACCCATGGGAGGCTGCCAGTTGGGACAGGCAGTGCCCTGTGGCACTGAGGTCCATCCAAGCTGCTTTTCTCAGACCACAGATCTGCTCTCCACGGCTGCCACACCCTGCTTGGAGTCCAATGAAGGAATAATCCTACACTAACACAGACTCTAAACTGACATTTAAGTACTAGTTTTTTAATCCTTTGATTTGATGTATATTTAGTTTTACATATTGTGGTACCATTGAGAAGCGATCTTAGTGTGACTCCTGGTCCCCTCAAGGAGTTTCTCTTGAATCCTCTATTCCCACTGTCCCTTGGATACTGGCCACCTTCCATCTCCCCTCACTCTCCAATAACCTTCAGGTAACAACATCTGCATTTGAATTGTCCTCCAATCATTCATGTATCAGAAGCTTTATCCACAGGTTCAAAGAACTGTGATGGTACTTGGAGGTAAGTGTTTTGGAATACAATTTGGGTTAAATGAGGCATGAGGACAGTCTTTATGATGGCATTAGTGACTTTATAAGAAGAGGAAAAGGGGTCCTAACCAACATCTTTGTTTTCTCTACCCACTCGACATCCTATGATGCAATAAGGTCCTCACCAGATACCCACACAATACTTTTGAACTCACCAGTCTCTAGAACTGTGAACTACATGAATCTTAATTCTTCATATATTACTTGTTGTAGTCAGGGCTTGTAAGGAGAAGAATTACATTCAGGACACAGAATTTATAATATTTTTATGATGGTCACCCAAAGTTAAATACAAGCAAGTTCACAAAATCTATCCACAACACCCAAGACCCAGAATATTCAGCCAAGGGTCTGGTACCCACAGCAATGTCCTGTGTGAGTCTGGATGAAGACCTAGAGCCTAAGACAATGCCTCCCATGTGTCCAACTAGAGGTCTAGAGCCCATGACAAAGGACTCATGCTGGTCTGTTTTACAGATCCGTGCTGGGAAGGCCCAATGGTCACCTGTGAAAGCTAGAAAGTCTATGCCAGTGGTGTGAAGGAGCTGTGTAGCAGGTTGAGTGCTCTACATTGGAGCAAAAAGTAGCACTCAAATAAGGACCAGGGCTGCCCTGAAAAGTACCACAGCTATCCTCAGCAACAAGAAGGTCTTGAGCTTCTCTGACAATAAGAATAGTCATGTACCTGGCAGCAAACCAGAGTGACAAGCTTCTCCTGGAGACTAAGCCACACATATCTTCCTCTCCGGAGGCAGCAAGCAATGCTCAACATAAGAACCAGAGCTCCCCCAAAGTAAACTACAGCCATTCTTAGAGACAAGGTCCTGAGCTCCTCCAATGATGATGGCTGAAACCATATCGGGAAGCTAGCCATGACAAGCTCTGCCAGGAGAACCAAGGGCTCCAAACAGTGACACTTAGGAGATCCCACAAAGCCCCACCCTCCTTCTCCACATCTCTATTTATGCTGGCAACTTCCCTCTGGTGGGCCATCTACACTCAGCACCATACTGATTTAATTCAGCTGGTGTTAAGTTGACCACCAGTTTTTAGTCCATAACATTACCCAATCTGTGATTTAACTCACAGTAACAGAAAATGGACTAAGACAACAACTCAGGCCAGAAACTTCTCTATCTTCTCAGACTTGTTTGTATTTAAAGATCTTGGTTATAATTACAATGCACTTTCTAATGTTGTGTAGCTCTGTACACAATTTAGTTTTTACTAGATTTGAAGATACCCAACAAAGGTTACTTCAACATGGTGGTAGACAGCTGGTTTCACTCAAGAGCTGATGGATGAAGGAAATCCAGAGCTGTTACGACTTATAGAGCCGTTACAGTTCATCTATACTCCCTGAGCAAGAGCTAGACATTGTTGGGTTTCAGTTTTAGTGAGGTGGGTGTCCTTCAAGGCTTCCTTCGACTTCATTGCCTTTCAAACAAGGCGGGAATCCTTGGCTGACATTAACAATTGCTTATGACTTTCCCTCGTGGTATATTTACTAAAGCAGTTTTACTAATGGGCTGTTTACAGTCATTTCCCTTCACAGCTGGCCCCAGAATGAAATGAAAACAAAAAAAATGATACCCAGGGGTTTATCAATTTTTTTTTTTACCTTATAAACTGTTAGTGCCTCTCAGCAGGGGCAGTTCACAATCTTTAATTTTTAACTAGTTTCAGCAGGATTTGTCTGCCCAGCTTGACTCACTGTGTGGAAAAAATCCCAGATCCCTCTGGCTGAGGCTGGTGCCTCTTGCTGAGACTGGCAATATTGTCGCTGGGGGCTGCAGCTCATAGCATTGGAGCCGTGCAGGGCCAAGTGAGGACACTGCGCCTGCGCAGCTCTCATTCCAAAAGGCAAAGGGGGCTTGCTTCTCCTGAATATCTTCCTTGAAGTTTCTTTTTTTCATTTTTGCATTTAAAAACAAAATGAAACAGAAACCTCTCCTGTGACAGTATTTAAGAAGGAGGAAACAGCATGTCTGCATGACCTAAAATCCCGAGGAAGACGGGGGTAGAGAACAGACCAACTGGAGAGGTGCGCATGAGCAGGAAGTGAAGGTGACCAGTCACTGATGGGAAAAGGATTGTAGGCCAGTCCTGAGCGGAGTGTGGAATGAGGTACCCAGCTGAGCCTTTGCCTCCAGGTTCGGGGGAGTTACAGAAGTTATAGAAAGGAATTTGTGCAAAGAAATTGTACATCCTTTACATGCCATCTCTGTAAAATACTCAAACCAAATAGTTTGCTTTAATGATTCTTCTTTTTCTATTCATTTAATTTTACATGTATGTATTCATCTATCCAAAAACAGTATTGACTAAAAGTTAGGTAAGTGATACAGTGATCTCTTCTTTCTTGAAACTTTCAATTTGTTGGTAGATGGAGAAATTATCTTAAGGAGGTGGCAGGGGATACATCATTTAGTGCCCTGTGGTTCTCTCTTGGGGTGAGGCATGTTACAGGAAGCTAATTGGCAGTTTCAAAGGATACTATGTTATCAAGACTCTCCAGAGAAGAGATAGATATAAATGATAGATATCGATACAGGTATAGGATACAAGTAAGCTACAGGTATAGGTACAGATACAGATATCGATAGATATAGAACACTATAACAGACAATCCATTGGCTTGTACAATCAGTGTCAGAGCCCAAAGAATTTCATAATGGTTGCCTACAAGCTACACAGCCAAGGAAGCCAATAGCTACTTAGTCTGAGAAGCTGGAGGCCTCAAAACAAGACAAAGGAGCCAATCATAAGCCCCAAGGCCAAAGTCCTGAAATCCCCCTGGAAAACCACTTGCACAAGTCCATCTTAGAAGCCTAAAGAATCTGAAGTCAAACAAACACATCTTCCCAGAAGAGCCAAGCATGTGAGTGTGCAAACTTCCTTGTGCTGCTGCATCTAAGTCCCCATTCTATTGAACAGTGCCGCTCACATTCAGAGCAGATCTTCCCCTCCAGCTCACTGACCACAGTTCAGGTCTTTCTTAGAAGCATGTCCACAAACACTTCAGAAACACCTTTGCCAATGTTTAAGAAACACCTCAATCCAGTGAATTTGACATCTAATGTGAACCATCAGAGATAGCAAAACATGATCAAATATGCATATTACTAAGATTATTCTATCAGATCAGTTGGAACAGGATCATACAGGAAAATATCAGCAGAATTTATTATCATGGCACGGGTAAGGAACTAGTCTAGGTAAGAAATCTCAGCCTCGGCTAAGGTGATGGCTGTGGAGTTGGACAGAGTGAATATTTTAGATGTGTTTTCTAAGTGATAGTCAACAAGCCTTGCCAACGCATGCAATGCAAGCGAGGCTTTGGTAGGAACAACCAGAAGATGAGAGCTTTCTCTTTTACAGCCCACACTTTACCTCCTGCTTCTTCAAATTCGTGTAGAATTGAGGAAATGTTTCTGTCTGTCCAGTTTCAGTCAGGCTACATCTATGAAGGCTCTGCCCTTCATCTCTGATCTGGTCCTCTTTACTTACTGTCTCATTTCCTAGGAAAGAGATTTGGTCTCCATGAGCTTTAAAGTCCTCATCTGTAAAATATGGGAAAACAGACATCACTGAATGTGATCATAGCTGTGGAGCTCATAGGACAGCGAAGGCACTCAACAAACGCATGCTTCTTTTGTGGGCTCCTCCTGCCCGCTCCGGCTGTCTCAGACCTCGGATCTGGTGCTTCTTTTTTGAGAACATAGTA